ACAAGGATTCAAATTTGAATGAACTCACTGGTCATAATTCTCTGTGCCCAGTTTATTTTGCTACGATAATGTTCTCCCCAAAAAGAACAACGTTGGGCTTTTTTATTTTCTAAGACATCGTTCTTTGGAATTCGGTCAAGTGATGATCATCAAAAACGGTCGGCTTTTCTTGTTGCTCGGAGTGGAAAGCATTCCATCTGCTCATATACTCCTCTGTTCAGGGGTCAACTTTATACTCTTTGTTCTTTCTGGTTCTGACTGATACAAAATGAATCGTTCTGACCCCTAAAAAATTTAAATGCGGTTGTATGTCTGCTTACGCAAAAATATTGCGTTTACTATAGATTCCAGGTTTAAAAGTCTTTAAGATCTTCAACTAGAGTGACTGCATTATCGTTTATTTTTTGGTCTCTTCCCCAAGCAATCCACTGACATACGTGTGACAGTAACTGAACGTAAGAAAAAAATTGAAAGCATGAGCGGGGACAAATTTTACCCCACGTTGCACGTTCATAATTGTCGAGTTGGTGAGACTCATTAGACAGCAAGAATTGACGTCTCCGTGTTCGTCCGTACAAGAGAGAAATTATCAATCTGTTTATTGATTCTTGTTTAATAAGTAGGTGCTTTTTTAGGCGGACTACTTGCTTCCTGCACGATCAACTTGTTGATTGGTTCATTTCGCGGCTGTCTGAAAAAAGAACGTAATCAGAGAGGTTTGAATTTGTAATGTTTTTTGATGAAATCTAAGTTGAGGATATTCAATAAGAATGCATGAGAGTATGGAAGAAATTCCTTCGGTCGAAACGAGAGTATATTTTCTGACATCTGCGATCGCTTATTTGTAGCTCAAATGACTGAACACTGGCTCTCAAACTCAGACCGTCTAGGCCAATCCCAAGGCCGTTCCAGCATCAGGCTATTGACAGTCATGTGCCCTTCACCATAAAGCTTGAACAGCTCTGACCCACAGCATCGATCCGATCGCGCAGTTTGATTCAAAAAAGTCATTGAATTTGTGACAGCAAGATCGGTTTGGATGACGTGCTACTTTCGACCAATGAGCGTCCTCCGTTTACGCGAGCCTATTGATTGGCTGATTGCGAAGTATGATCTATCGAGTCGGATGAGATTAGCGAATCTCTCTTTTTTCCAACCACAGGACAATAGGGACCCCAAGTACTCGAAACAGCCTGGTGATTAGGTTACGCGAGAGAAATCATGTGTGTCACTTCGAAGGCATTTGTTTCGCTTCTAATACAATCCACAACGCCTGGTGGACAGTCAGTACAGATGTGCTACTTATCCAAGCAAAGTTGTAGAGTATCAGAATACGAATGGAACTCACTGACCAAACCACGGCTTATCTTATCAGTCAGTATCACCCTGGGCCAAAAATTTGTTTAGCTACCATGAATCAGGTAAACTAAGTAAGCTAGCCACCCCGTGGAAGTGAGTGTTTGTTGTACCGTGCGTGGCCGTCTATTGGTTACGCCTGCACTGAGCCTACCTGACTAGGCGATAGGGAGAAAACAGAGAACTCGGGACACGACTGTATTTCCAGGACAAAACATACAGAGCGTCTGTGTAAATATATAGGATGACTAAATGTTCAAATATGATCGTTCACTTGTTCGCTCCGTACATCGTCCGACTCACCTACTTCCTGGACGTGTCTTATCGATGGTGACCTTGTGGATGCGTCACTCTCCACACATGTGCTTTTTTCATGTCTGGGCGCGTCCTGGCAGTGTTCCTGATTGGTTGGGGGATATCACTTGACTGGAGAACGGACAGGAACATCCGAGTTTATCTACTTCGACGGTTGTTCTGATCTCCTCCTCGAGTTGAGGAACTGGTGCCGTCAGATCGAAAAAATCAGGTCTCCAGGATCAGTGACTCTCAGGTGACGAACACTTGAGTCACTCTCCTAGTTATCATTAGGACTTCTATTATGATCTATTATGGACATCTCACGTTTGTTCAGTTCAGTGGTTAAAAAACCACGGGATGGTCGCTCACCTTTCATTTCGGTGGTTGACTACTACTACTAACTTAGCTGAGGGATGAGAACTGATTTCGTCTTCCGCCCACGTTCTTCATTTGATGCTTGCGATACATAGAATGGGTGGTGGGCATGAGACCATCAGCCGAAAGGGCATGTTTACTTCACCTGGCCATATGACTTTGTTTCATATGATCAAGGGTTCATTTTTCTTCCTGCGCCCACAGAACGTCTGTGGGAGGCGTTCAGCTAAAGTGGAACAACACGAACTGGACAAGAAAGTAACTCTCATATGCACCTTGTTTCTAAAAAAACCGTTTCTAAGAAACCGTCTTCTTCTTGAACCCGTCTTCCTGAACTTTCCTAGATATTCATTGACTGTCACGCAATTTCAAACGAATGCTGCAAAGCAGTTTCACAAATTCCGTAATAAATCCCACCTTCCATTAGATCAAGGCGGAGTTTTGGGAAAACCACATACTACTCCCCGGCCTCATCAGTAGAATACACGGTTACACCAGCATATAAAAACCTCCTACTCATATGGATACCACGAGTCCGTCTACTCTTAGTACCCAGCTCAAACATTCAAACGCATATTTATACGAACTTTTCAGTTAGATCGAATTCCAAGTAGTAACATGAGGATACAAGAACTAGCACACTTATCAGGCAACTAGTCCAGTTTTTACAGCCAATGTTGTCATTCGGCTGTTTTATTATTTTGTGTTCGTTGTAACCAAGAGGAGCAAAGTACGCATCTAATGTCATTGCTTAACAGAATGATTTCATTGAAAACACGCTCACCTACACGTTAATCGACGCTTGGTGTTTTTATTACACATCAAAAAGTTATCGATCCAACAGCTATTCGACCGGTTTTTGAATTGTGTGACTCGGCAAGCAGGGGCTTTCTTGTTTCGCTCTGTCTTCTAGCCTTCTGCCAATTCATGGCGAACGCATGAGTATTAATCAAAGCAGTGAGATAACGCAATTTGCAGTGATGTCATGTCTCGGTTTGTTTGTTCTAAGACTGTGCATCACATGAGATTTGTTTTTCCTGAAGAGAACCGATAGCGGACAGTGCGTAAAAGTGGAACCTTTGATGTCCTTATCGCTACACTTCACACTACTGTCCTAGAGCTTTTCAAACTTGATCAAGCCGCTATCCTTCCCACCTACTAAAATAAAACCCCGGAGTTGAGTTTAAAGTGGCATAAAAATCAACCCCAGGCATCACAGATAATTTGATTATACGTGAAAATTCATCACTGCCAAATACATTTCCAAAAATCGATAGCTAAACTATCTATCAGTGAGCACTACTCAGGTGTCAGCTGTCAGCTTCATTAGTCAAGAGGTTTGATTTGGACCATTGCGCGTGTGCATACTATGCTGCATAAAAAACCAGTATGCCGATTGATTTATTTGCATACAGCAGCAAGTGAGTCCCAGGAAAAAACTGGTCGATATCCAGTCTTGTTGGTGCACTTTTACGCAGCTGCTGGGCTGTCTGCCGAAGACCGAACATTTTCCAAAAATTTCTGCTTTCTTGAAACTGTCAGTTGAATGCATTTCAGTAACATACTGTGTTTACTTTTGACACATTTTGCAACCCAACGTCGAGAATCCCGGTTCACTAATGTACACTAGAGACCGGTATGTCCTGAAAAGAGACACCTTTTGGTCGATGGAATCTGCCAACTGGGCTCACCTGATTGGCTCATTGAGGATAAAACTCTCGCATGTTTGGACCTCTCGTATCTGGTTGTAACTTTATTGTCCAAACTTTTAGCACTCAAGCAAACCACAGCATAGGATAAGAGTCTTCACACCAAAGGAAAGATACAATAACGGAAACTGTCGACTTTTGGACCGAGGTCCCTTAAACACCTTTGTCGGTTACAAAAACTGCCAAAGTTTTCTCCCCTGTAACTCTGTCTGCATAAGAACAGTTTTCGGTTTTCCCCCTTCTGGAAACGGATTATTAGCCTAAATTTAAGCCACACTTGTTTGATTGATTCACACTCAATGCCTTTATTAGCCTAATTTAAGTCACACTTGTTTTGATTCGTTTCACTCAATTCGTACTCAGAACTGAACTAGACTCAAAGGAACTTTAGGTTATTGATGAGGCCCAGATTTGAATTTCACGTCATTCGGTTATTTCACTAGCGTGCGCTGGACACTCCTAAATAGGTATGCATGTCCACGCTCGAGTGACATGGTAATATCGTGAACCAAAATCTGGTCCCCGTTTAGATTGCATCACGAAAGCTTAAAACCTGTTACAAAGTCTCGATAGTACTCACAAGGTCACTGAAAGCTCTCGACAGCTCGATATCACCCTTTTGAGTACTCATCAGGTTGATCTAGTCTCTCGATCCCCGTCAGCGTTGTGCTCTCCCGCGATACATACGCGTTTGCAGTTCAACTTGTGGCAGACAGGGTGCTCAACTTAATCTCATCTGAATTCCTCGTTTATAAAGCTCCCCAGCTAAATCCATTGGAGGTGCTAAAATACGTTTTCTTGATACGACATTACTTATAAGCTGTCCGATACAGTTGCACCATTCTGTGGGTTCATCCTTCAAGCCTAGTCTTCAAAACTCCATCATTCTCAAGTGTGGAGAGCTTCCATTGTTTAAAATTCACCGCTATATCCGTCGGAAACGTAAGACGATCCATGTGCAACCCGATTCCGAAGAATAATCCTAAAAACCAGGGACACACGTTAAATTGAGCTTTGTATCTCATCAACATCATGACTCCAGAGTTGTTGTGAAATTTACTCACTTTCTCACTATGAGTCGTCCGCCTGGTACAATTATTCCAGTTATTCCATTTCATACACAAACTGTTCAGAAAGAAGGTTCAAACGTGATATACTACTCATAAGGTTACCGAAACCCTTCGACAGCCCACGACCGGTTTCGCCCCTCTCGGGGCTCATCAGGTAGGCACAGTCTCCGAGTTTTCTTCAACATTGTACCAGCCAAGTTCACTCATTTGCAAACAAATTTGGTTTTGCGGAAGACTCATCTGGAACCCAGATGAATCCCTCGTTCAAAGTGTTTCCAAGAAATTGAATATGCCGCACCAGGCCGCCGCATATTTCAGCTGGTACGGTATTCGCGTTACATTGTGTGTACTCATGGATTACTACGGTTGCTGAAAACGAGCAATTCAGCTGCGTTCTAGATGATTCTCCCATCGACACCAAATGGAGGTGAATGTATAAGTCAAATGTCCAAATTTACTTTTTGGGTGGTTGGACAACACCGGTGTAACGGTGCTACTACTGATGGGGAGACATGCGAGTAGTATGGCTTCTCGTAAGTCCGCTTTGCGTCTCTTGAAAAGTGAGCTTTGTTACAGAGTTTGCGGAGTCGCTTTGTAGCATCTGCTTGGATTTTAGCAACATTCAATGCATATCCAGGAAAGTTCAGGAAGACGCGTGCAAAGAGAGAATGGATATTCAGCTTTTTTAAATATGATGCATATGAGAGTTTCTTTCCCCTGTCCAATAGTCTGTAACTGTTTAGAAGGCATTTTCCAATTGATAACTCCGCAGCGAAGGCTGTCTAGTTCCAAAAATGAGTACCTTACGGACCTTTATTTGTGTGATTGTTTCAGGTCTACACACAAAATGAGTCACACTGTGAACTCAACAGGCACTGTCCCCGGGGCTCGGAGGCAAGCACGCACTCACCCAAATTCTGCCGGGAGTTCAACAACCACGTCAGTTTCTGCTAGCTATTTCGATAGTGATGTTGATCAACTCATGGTGAACAACACACCTGAAGCGACCAGGTACAAACGTGTTCTTGGAAAGAAACTTCGTGCTCGTTTGAAGGACTTGCTCAAATCCTCAAATAAAAAGTCAAGCCAATTTGGAAGTAATTCAAACGTGGACGCTCGGTCGACGCCTGAGTTGGTCTCTGTGGCCGAGAAACTATCAGATCAAAATTTGGAATATGACTCAATTCCACCAATACCGCATATTCAGCACGATACCGTGCAAAGTGAGGACGTTCAAGATGAACCAAAGTACATCGGAACCCGAGATACGACAAAGTCTTCCGCAAAGGCTTTCCCAAATGCCATGTTTGGAAACCACGCGGTGCATCCTCGTGCACGCAAGCATACGCTGACGACTTTGGATGAAGTGGAACCCCACGCAAGTCCATACTACCAACATCATCATTTGCCTCTGGTGGAAAAGTATGCGAACAACGTCCAACTATCACAAACAGCTAGTCGACATCACCATCATCATCATAAACATCATTACTGCAAGACGAATCGGAAAGTTGATGGCGAAAAGCAGGACAAGGAGACTGTTTCACTCAAGTCCACAGAATCATACAAGTCGGAGGGGGCCACCAGTGAACCAGTGAGTATTTGCTATTGATTATTTTATCCAACCATTTGTGATGAGAAAACTGTCCGAAACCTCAAGCTGCTGACTGCCACGTAGTAACGAGTGCTGTGAGCTATACTGCGTCCGAGAGTGTTATTGGTTTTCTGCAATAGAGTCGCAGTTCCCTAAAGCTCATTCACAGTTACGTCAGGCCCACTATTAGAATTGACGAAAATTTGTCGAACCAAAAATCCAGTTTCTCTGTTCGTCATCTTCTATGCAGATAGGTCGGCTTTTGATGTTGTTGTTCCGAAAACCCTTCGCAAACACTCCCGTCGCCAATAACATTCATTAGGGGGAACTACGTACAATATGATTGGTCTAAGCATAATAAACCTACCCAAATTTACTCGAATATAATCGTTTTCTTATCATTCCTAAGGAAACTTAGACCATCTTGGGTTAGCCAGGTCCCACTTACTGATAACAGACAAGATTTTCCATATATATCGATTGGCGCAAACAGACAGCCTGGTGCAACGGAATACTTGAGAAATCGATCTAGGTTGACTCCCGTTCCATCTATACTTCAGGCCTGCTGCTATGTGCTTATTTCTGTCTAGCTGAACTCACTAACTGTTTCTTTTTCAAGCGGATAAAATGTGCCATGAAAAAAATTATCGAATGTCTGCTGGTGGGAAAAGTTATGATGCATTAGAGAAACGTGTAGTTTGATTACGACAAATTAGTAGTGAACCAAGGTCTGAGTTTCCATACGCGAGCATTCAGGTTGAGAAAAAACGGTTATTCGACTGGCCTGAATACCGATATGCTTTTTTGTGGGTTTTACGTTTTGGGGTACGACCGTTTCCAACGTCATGACGGCAAACGAAGTGGAAAAGTCGGCTATTGAGGTTGAAATTGTATTCACCACCCCTACACACGGCGAAAATAAACAGGTTACAATTATCACCTAGACAACCAATTAGTGCCTTACATGTGCAGGTTTTCGCTCCCAGTCAAATCAAATGTCCGACGGCCTATGGCTGTGCTTCATGGGCGATCGTCCTTGAAATGGTATCTTTTGATTGGCTGTCACTGAACTTCGCTGCTAGCACACCACCATTGGTAAGTTCAAACTGCCTCCACGGCTAGGCATACGGTAAGCCCGGATTTTTATCGAACCCCGCCCCCAGAGTGTAGTTTGCACCATGGCTGCCTACTGTGATACAGGATTTCTGGTGCCTTCTTGAATGCCACGGAAAAAGCTGAGCTATGGACGTATATACATGTGGTTACTGCCTGCTTTCATTTTACAGTGTGGACACATCAATATTTACATCATATGTTTTTTGATGAGGAAGAATACGATGTTTCAAAATCTCCTATTATTAAACTGCGTGAAGTGCAAACATTTCGCATCATGACGTATGTGTTTTCCCCCACCAAAGTGTCGTGTTTNTTTTCGTTAGACTGTACAGAGATAGGGAAAGAATAAAGACATTACAGGCGTAATGCGCAACTGGAAGCCAGCGATCAGTTTCACCCTTCCACTTCGGCCTCATCAGGCAGACACATTCTCCGTCAACTTTATGTTTTGCTTAAGCCCAAAGTGGTTTTGACGGGAGACTCACCTGGAGCTCTGGCCTATCCGGGGCCTGAACTCTGGGTACCCGACATGCCGGGCGAGCGTGATATCGCTAATCCACGAGTATGCATCTGGATTTTCGAGTCCGTACAGGCGAACCTGTTCACACCTGAGCTATTTGACTGGTATGCTCGACGGCTCGAACAACGGCTCAGTAACTGTCTTGGTCAGCTGATCGCCTGGTTCGCATGTCAGCAGTTCCCAGTCAGGTAGCGCCACTAAACGCTCAAAACCGGCTGAATAATTATTGATTTTTTCTGGGGGTGGTTGCCGGATTCGTAGTGTTGGTCTTTACACAAAGCAACAAAATCACCATTTTGATTAAATGCCATAGCAATTTAATGAGTGGACATTTGAGAACGCGTTTTTTTCCTGGAAGGTGTATAAGGCCCACCAAGATTAACTGGTAGAGGTGAAGTACACTATTTCCATTAGCTCCTCAGGTGTCAGAAAGACAAAATAGTGGAAGGATGACTTGATGATTCCATGAATCCGTGCCTTCATGTATTTCTTATGTAGATGATGCTAAAGGGCTTATTCAAAGCTCGTTTTTTCGGATTTGGAAGTAAAACGCAACAGCGGGTAAAAGCAAACGCAGCAGTTGACGACTTTGCCACGTCGAGCGCCAGCAAGCAAACTTAATCAAATTTAAACTTAAACTGTTCGAAAAGTTGAAAGTTAGTTAAAATTCACTAAAGTCTATAGTTGGCTATAGAAAAATCTTCTACCACAGAGTGATTTTTTACGGTATCCTGAACTGAGCATAATGAAACGTCTTCTCAAAACCGACTCAGCCCGGAATTGGCTGTCACCGTTAGCCTATCACGCGTACCGTGGCGCACTCTGCGTGAATGTCCAATATCTAGGGCGCGTTAGCTAGGGCGCTTCTCTCGCTAGACTGTCTACGGTCGCCAATGCAGTATACACTTTTACGGTTAACCCAACTGCTTGTAATTTGAAGAAATTGCCGCCTGGAGTACGGAACTTGAAGATGAAACACACATGTATTTTACTGGATCGATTTCAAAAACGATTTTTGACCAAAGACCGAACTTCCAGGTGAACACTGCGCAGGCAACTCAGCTCTTGTTGGGTTTTACACTAAGCATAAATACGGAACGGAGATTTGCCTGTTGATAGTGAAATAAGCCGAAGCACATTGGACAGTGTTGTTCGAATGATTACGGAACCAGCCTGTTCATAGTGTTTGCACCCACAGTAGGTGGTCTTAAAAGTACAACAGCGGTTGACTGTGTCCCTAATAAGCTATTGTGCGATCGATTCTCACCTAAACAGGTTTTTGCAATAAACTGAACACACAAATAATGCCAAGTGTCGCACATCGTTTGCTAGAGAATTTCGAATGACCTGAGAACCTATCAAAAGGGACCAATAACAATTCTTTGTGACAACCTGGCTGTTCCTCAGTATCACGGTTTTTAAGAACTTTCTCTGCCTCCTAGATTTTCGACTGAGTATACGCAAGTGCTTGAATACTGAGTTGAAGTTCCAACCAATCCACGGGTTGCTACCGAATCGTAATGTCCACCAAAGTGCAACTTGGTCTCAAGTACCAACATTCCGCTGAGGACACCGAAATCTTTTTTTCAATTAATGGAGAAGAACTCAGTCGGCGGGATAGATGTTCCATCTTTTATGTAATTGATTCGAACCCTCGACTTTCCGGCGAGTAGTTTGAACACTGTTCGGCCACGAGGAGTGATTAGCCCTCACTTAGCTAAGATATGGAACCCTTCACCACGCAGTCCTTTCCATGTGGTCACGTGCTGATGACTTCTCAGGTGCAAGGTTCAATCCTCATATGGATTGTTCTTTCTCCTGAGCTACTTGTTGGAACCAATCAAACCCCATTGATCCCAATATGTTTTAGCCTGCTCTATGTGTCCACTAGAATAAAAGCGGTCACTTTCAGACGCTTGGTAAACAATCGGTGGGTTTATTGCTGGGCAACGTTTCGCTTTTGACACCAAGGCTTCTAATTTCAAAGCAGGCAAAGGATTATTTTTTGAGATTTCTTATGACTAGCTAACTTGTTAGTTCTGGTTATCAGTCCGAAGTTCCTGTTTGTTGGTCAGTGGGGACGACTGGGGGTTGTCTTAATGTTGAATCCTGATTTTGTGTCCTTGCTTTTCCGATCTGGGACACCTTAACGTGCAGATTCTTCTTGGATGTTGTTCACAGACTTTCTGGTCTGTGAGCTTTGGGGGTGTGCCCGGACTGGAGTTGGAGGGGACTGGTTGTGTACTTTTAGACCGAGACAACCTCACCGAAAACCGCACAGCACCCAGTGCCATCTCGGCAGATCTAGACCCGCTCTCCATGCGCCTGCCAGTTCTACGTTCTCTACTCTACTCTACTCTACTCTGCTCTACTCTCACTGGGATGCTTGGCGATTTCCACCGCTTCGTCCACCGATTGCTGTGCTGTGAATCTTAAACCTCGTCTCAGAATTTCCGCATTTTTCAAATCTATCGTGTGCCCAGTGTCTAGTGCGTGTCCTATCAGTACCGGGTCTCTGATTATCGCCTGGTGGTCTGATTCTGGTGTGCAATTCCCTGGCTGTCTGACCTATATAAACCTTCGTACAGTCTTTAAATTTTTTATCGTGTACACAGTTCCTAGTCCTATCAACCGAAGGGCGATCCTTCAACTGCATCCACACCGAGCGTAAAGTCTTTCCCTTCTGGTATGCTACTCTAATGTTAGTCGTTTTCAGTACCCTTCTGATAACTTCAGACGTCAGTGTTTTGTATGGGACGACACACAAGTTTACCCAGTATCTTTTTCGAATTTTTGAACAAACACTGGACCATGACGTGTGGGATGTTATTTCTCAGCGACTGAAGGTGGAACACAGCAGACTGTTCAACTTCTAACACCTCAGCGTGCGATAACCCCTTGAAGGATCACGTGACCACATGTTGTAGATCCCGTGACTGAAAGATGGATTGATGCTCCATCCTGTTCACTTAGGAGTCGGCTGCACTGCTGATCAGCCAACTGTGTTCATCCATCGACAGGAAGGTCACAGGGTTCGTGAGATGGCTATTGATTTCCAAAAGGGATGGAACAGCTTCTCTACCTAGATTGCCTTTACTTCAAGGAGGGGATCTCAGTTGAAAATGAGCTTTTTAGCCTCTCCTAGATAGTGGTATTTCTTCGGGAGAGACTGACGCCAAGATGACGAAGGGAGTGATTCGCGTCGCTCTCCAGGTATTGTCACCATGCCCCAGGACTACCGTAGTTTTAGACCGAGACTCCCCAACCACAGTACCGGGAAGTGACACGTTTGAGACAAACATGTTCCGTAGCTAAGCGGACCGTGACCACTTGCAAATTCTAGCACGTCGTCTAAGTGTGTCAG